AAGTTTGATCTTCAATATAGAATCAAGTTTGATCCTTAATATAAAATCAAGTTTGACCTTTAATATAGAATCAAGTTTGATCTTTAATATAGAATAAAGTTTGATCATTAATATAGAATCAAGTTTGATCTTTAATATAGAATAAAGTTTGATCATTAATATAGAATAAAGTTTGATCATTAATATAGAATAAAGTTTGATCATTAATATAGAATAAAGTTTGATCATTAATACAGAATAAAGTTTGATCATTAATACAGAATAAAGTTTGATCATTAATACAGAATAAAGTTTGATCATTAATATAGATTCAAGTTTGATCATTAATATGGATTCAAGTTTGATCTTTAATATAGAATAAAGTTTCATCATTAATATAGAATAAAGTTTAATCATTAATATAGAATCAAGTTTAATCCTTAATATAAAATCAAGTTTGACCTTTAATATAGAATCAAGTTTGATCTTTAATATAAAATCAAGTTTGATCATTAATATAGAATAAAGTTTGATCATTAATATAGAATAAAGTTTGATCTTTAATATAGAATCAAGTTTGAGCTTCAATTGAATTGATGTTCTCACTGTTAGTATTCGATTGTAGATGGTTACGGGAGTGCCTGTTTTAACAGACTACAAAGGTTAGATTCTAAGATAACATTGCTTTGTCAGTTGAAAAAAACATTGATGGTTCTATGATAAAATCGTTGTTTCTTTGTGAAAAATCCGCAGTCTAGTCTTTTTTCCTGTCACTTTGTATTGTATTTATAAGTTCAGAGTGACAATACTACATGATTTGATGAAGAGAAATCCAGCCAGAAACATTTCAGAGTGTTATACAATTTGCTGAAAAACCATAAACGTTGACATTTCTAAATTTCCTTTCACTATTTTTTATGTTCTTGTCTAAAACAGCACTTGGTATATTATAGGAAGGGAAAAATAATAATTTCAGAAAAGTATAAAAGTAAAATTATCTATGTTTATCTAATCTGTCAGAATAGCATTATGCCGATTGTTCAATAACCGTGAATATTTTGGTTAGCCACACAGGAGTTAACGACCAACGCGACAAGAAAGTTTCATGTCAGTCCCAACAGAAAATAATTAACGAGTCCCATGTCACACGAAAAATCACAAATTCCGAAGGTAATAAATTGCCTATTTAAATGATCAATAACATGCCACACATTCATTAAGCTGAAACTGTTGCGTTAACATAGAAATTAACGCGCGTTCTAAAAAAAACCACCCGCGTATCTTCGAAGTTCATTTAAGGAAACTACACCTTGTATTACTCTCTTTCGGAACAAGGGATGAAAGGGAACTAGAATAACGATGGTTCCAGGACTGCTTAATAATCAAATGATCATTATCGTCTCGTTCATTTAACCGGAAACCGTCTGCTCCATGGGGAACATTATTAGTCATCCACGGGACGTCACGCGCCTTTTCTAAATGACTGTTGGAAAATCTTTAATTCGTCCCTCGACCGTCATACGATCGTCTCCCCTTTTGACTTAGCGGGCCGGAAATGATGAATTCGCGAGCTTTATCGCAAACTGCGGAGCGTTGTTTCCCGAGCGGGGCTCCAACAAATAAGCTGTCCCGAGCGCAAGATATTTCTTACTGGCGAGGGGAGGGGAGGGTCGTAATCCTCCCGATTGCTGAACTTCTTATCGCGAAACGGGGGAGGAAGGACCGTGGGTACCGAAAATTGGACTTTCCGTTTGAATCTTCTTCCAACTCCTCCGCCGAATTACGCGCCGTCTGGTTCGCTCGTTAACTTCGTGGATACATCGGCTTTGCCTGGAACGGAACGTCTCTTGTCGCGCGGAAACGATAAAACCGGGCTTTACTTTCATGGGCCTGTCGAGAAATTATCATAGTATTCGGTCGATGGGAAATATACGACGGACCATACTTCGTTCTACGTGATTCATACATGTGAATCTAAGTTACGTAAGAACTTTTATTTCAAATTCCCTGGTGATTTTCTACGAGTAAATTTTTAACTGATATTATGACAGAAATTATTTGTTGAGATTAGTTATTATTGAACTGTGAATTTTAGGCATTTGTAGCATACAGAACTTCGTGAAAAACAGTGAAAGATAATACTTTTATGAGATACAACAAATGATTTGTTTTATTCATAACCCAATAGGATACTTCAAGGAAGAAGGAAATTCCTACTTTTGTTTTTGTTTTTATGAATCACTTTATAATGTGTTATTTTGCATACATATCCACGGGCTAGTTGTCATATTAAAATTCTATTAATCTACACAAATTGTATTTCATTAGGTGTTATTTATACATGCATATTAATCGGAGCACAAAGTGTTATTGATTTTCTGCGGTTCTAGGTTAATCAGTCGCACTATATAGGGCATTGATAAAAATGTGGAACACTCACAGGCTGAATTCTATATGCCCAACTAAGACGAAAGTACACAATGGCGGAATTGCATTCGAGGCTTTGTTTCCGAGTTATTAATTGTTGAAAATACGGGCGAAATATGTCTGACGCGACGGATTATTCTACTTGATGAATTGATTTCATTCATTTAATTTCATTTATTAACCCTCGTCTGTCCCTCATTTTCCCAACTTAATTTGTCCTTCGGTGTCAAATTGACCCAGTGGTAAAAATTAATATAAAAATTTTTATTTGCAAATTCTTCAAAGTCAAAGTCACTAAGCCCCAGCTAAATTTACCTACACGTGACAGAATAACGTCATTTCTTAGGAAACGATTGTGTTAAATTGACACAAGGGGGACGGATGAGGGTTAATTTTACTACGTCATTTATTGAGTCCGTGTATTAGCTGGGAGTCGACTGTTTAAGTAGTATAATATAATCCATCACGTCAGACGTACTTCACACGTATTTCGTCCGCATTTTCAACAATTAATAACTCTGAAACAAAGCCTCAAACAGAATTTCGTCATTCTTGGTTTAAATCTTAATTTGTCGTGTAGAATCCACCCTGTATATTTCCAATTTATAGATTAATAATATTAACCCTAAAACTACCAAAAACGAACGTCTTCCTATTATCTATCACCTTTGAAAAAAAGGCAGCATATTAAAAAATATGCAAATCGATAAATTAACAAACTTCTTCACTCATATATTGCAGTAAAAGTTTCAAAAAATCTCAGAAAATACTGTTACAATATTCTAATAATTTTTATAAAAGTTCACAAACCAGAGATATTGACTAGTTTGGTAACTTAATATCGAAACTAGAATAAAGAGCAAGAATCACCACTTTTTCGCTGTTACCATACCAAAAAATGGCCATTTTGGCCGGATGGCTCACACGTGACGCGTTTCACGCGGCTGACGTAATCGAGCGTGCCGCGAAAATTGAAACTGTGTCAAATTGGAACAGCCGGAGGTAAAAACAATCGTTCTCGGTTTACATTAACACCAGTCGTGGGACACCGCGCGTCCCGTGTCGCAGCGGCGGCCATTTCGAGGGCGGTTGAAATACATTCGCAGCTCTGAAATTGTAATGCGGCAATTAATTTGATGGGACAACACGCGCGGCCTCGGTTCTGTGTAACTGCGCGCAAACGAAATTCGTCGTCGCGCGGCGACACATGCACAATTTCCGGTCCGTGGTTCGTGCAAGGACACGAAAACATAGAAGGCCATCTTGGGGGAGAAGTTCTTTAATTGATCGGGGGCCAGAGGATCAGAGGATTAGAGATTCGAGCTTAGGTTTAAAATTTTACTTAAATAGCTGAATGTTTGCAGAAATTTTCAGAGGATTTTTTTATCCTCTGGCAAGTTTAATTATTGATTTTCTGCTTGTGAGGATTTTATTTCTTTCATTGGAATTTATAATTTAAAGAAATAGTGTAGATTCGATAACTTAGAAATTGTAAGGTTTAAAAATGTAAGTATTTTAGAAAATGAGCAGGTAATATTCGAGGATTCGTTATAGTATATTCTATACTCTATTGTGAGTTTGCTTCGAAGTGTGTTCTTTGCAATTTTTTCTTCTCCCAGGCAAAATAATGCACTACAAAGTTTTTAAAGAAAATATAAGTTTTAGAAATTGAAAGAATCCAAATCTAAAAACATTCGGGTACTTGCAGCAAAATACAAACGGAATATTTAGAGTCTATTTATGTAAAAAAGTGGATGTCGAAAAAATTGTCGAATTTCCTGAAATTCATTATATCGAAAAGTTCGATAAATTTTAACACAATTTTCATTTCATCTGCTACCTAATAGAATCTTCTATGCGACTCCAAATTTTCTGTTTCTAGTCTCCACAAATAAATCTTTAAAAATCGCCACAAACAACAGGATTCTAAACACCCAGATAACTGACAGTCAAAAGTAAGGGACCAGTTGTAATAATTAAAGATAGAAAAAACTATTATTTTCCAAAAATTTGATAAAAATAATGTTCTAAGATTGATTACAAATAATTCGTATATCTACTGACTTCGTAACGTTTATTCTATCATCACAAAAAAATAAATTACAGTTCCATCAGTCATGAACTCTGATCCCACACTTTCATTCGCTATTACCCATCCCGAGGCCCCAGTTATCATCCTGCGAACAATTTCCACGAAACAAGCAATACGATTCTGCTGTTCCCATAAATGAAAATTCCAACATTTGTCAACGAGCACTCGCAGATCCATTCCGTCAAGCGAGCGTTGGGAGAACCACCGGAGGCAAAATAGTTTGCGTTCCCGAAACAAAGTTGTCATCGAGTCGTGGCGCCGAGCGCGTACACGCTCTCCCCGGCAACGTTTCCTAGTTAGGGCAATTCCGTACTTTCGCTCGTCACGATTAATTAGCTTAATTCTGGCTTCCTGTTGTGCGTGCGTGCACCAGCCCGCTGGGTGTCACGCCGGCATAACCCCCGGGCCGTGCGCATTCCCGGCGTCATAGTTGACGCACGTATGTCGCGTCGTAAAACCGGCCGTGTCGCATTCCGCCACAGCGACGCGACGCCTGGAGGAGATGAGCGCCGCCGAGACGTCGATCTGCATTTCAGTGCTGTGCATCTACGTGCTCAGGGCGCCACCATCACCACCGCCGACGACCCCCGCCGCCGCTCGTTTTGGTAAGAGGCTTACAGAGACGAGTGAGCTACTTGGCCCCGCGATCCAAACTCGTGACGATCCCACATAGATCCTCCAACTCGAGGAACCGAGACCCCCTCGACGCGGTTACCTGCGGCGAACCTCGCGTTCTTCGATCATAAATCCGGATGTTCTCTAGTCCCTTTGGTGTTCGATCGCTGGTTTGCGTAGTTTTGGAAAATCGTACGATTTTAGTTTGTTTGTTTTGTATGGAAAATGTGTGACGTTTTTGATGATCCAATAGACTATTTGTTACAGATGTGCTTTGAAAGGAGATTCTTCGAAATAAGCTGGTTTTTTTTTAATGAAATGTTAATATAAACGGGCTACAAGAAATACTATTGTATTATGAATGAAAGAAATAGAGGATTCTATTTAAAGAAATTAACTCCACCTTGAAGTCTGCTCCGTTGCTTTACCTGTAAAGAAATTATTCATACCACATAATGTTCACCTCCATACTAAGTAACTTGCGTAAGACTATTTTTGTCATATTTGACGAGTGAGCTACTTGGTCCCACGATCCAAACTCGTGACGATCCCACATAGATCCTCCAACTCGAGGAACCGAGACCCCCTCGACGCGGTTACCTGCGGCGAACCTCGCGTTCTTCGATCATAAATCCGGATGTTCTCTGGTCCCTTTGGTGTTCGATCGCTGGTTTGCGTAGTTTTGGAAAATCATACGATTTTAGTTTTTTTGTTTTGTATGGAAAATGTGTGACGTTTTTGATGATCCAATAGACTATTTGTTACAGATGTGCTTTGAAAGGAGATTCTTCGAAATAGGCTGGTTTTTTAAATAAAATATTAATAGAAACGCGTCACGACCTTCTACTATACCAGAATGCTATCGTATTATGAATGATGGAAATATAGCATCTCGCCATGGTCCCCAGGTGTAACGCTGATATTTTTAATAAAGTGTAGCGCAGTGATAGAGCTTGTATATAAAATTATTGAAATATTTAATGTTCAGTACCGAGGGGCCTTCGAACACTTATCGGGGACTTACTGTATTCAGCTAAGTGGCACACCTAAAAACCGCCCTAGTACATTGGTCACTTCGAAGTTACCCTCAGCAGTAAGTAGAGGGTTCAAGAGAAGTTCGATGCCCTTTGTACCATCATACAATACACCTTAACCTTCTATGGGCTCGTGTAACTTTCAAGATATTTTATTAAATAATTTAACTTTTGTCATAAGGTGGCATATAATCTTGTTATATAATATCTTCTCACTAACCAATTACATTATAATACAAAAAATTGCTGAAAAAACATGTTGGGTTCTCATTATTAATCAGTATTTTAAATGTATAGTTCTGAAAAAAAATTCGGCCCATAGAGGGATAATTCAATAGTCTGCTGTTTCCAGTGTTGAAACGAAAAAAATATTTTGTCCTGCCTCCTTGTTGTCCCCAATAAAATAATTCCACAACTCCAAAACCGAGTATCGTCCTCAAAAGAGAAACCGAATATTTTCCTCAAAGGAAAAAAAAATTAAGGTCTGAATAGGCCAGTGTTATAATCGTGCACGTATCGAAATCACCAAACGAAACCGGCAGACCGTGACGATCCTCCGTCTGTACACGCTCGTCGTTCGTGACACGTAGCGAGGAGCTTGTACACGCGAGAGTTTCATGGTATACGTAAAAATCGCGGACAGTTTCCAAGGACGTCGAGAGCGTAATCGTTTCGTTATTACGGAATTACGTGCAATTACCCAGCGGACGATTAAACCAGCGTGTCCGAGCAACGCGCCATCTTGGTTGCGCCAGCTCTTTTCCATTCCTCTGCCCCTCTGAAACGCTAACGACCCGGTTCCCGTTGTCAATCTAACGACCCGGTTCCCGTTGTCGATCTAACGACCTAACAACGATCACGACTCTGGTTGCAGCTTACGGAGAGGAAGCATCCTTGGAGATCCTGCCGAGCGGCGAAACGCAGACGAAGCCAATCGGGTCCAGCATCATTCTGACGTGCAAGCCGAAGGTCGAAGACACGAAGCTCATCAGCGACATGCAATGGCTCGATACGCAAAATCGTGTGATCGAGTCCCTGAAGTGAGTAGATCGACGGTCACACGATGTGGATGATCGTTAACCGCGTCGACTAACTTTTGGGTATACTACCATTGGATTATTCGCCCCTTGCCATTGTGTACTCTTGTCCGGCTGAATTAATTCGATTTGAATTTTAGGAACTTAACAATAACGAAGTATTAAAAAATATTAATAATACGGTCTAGTATTTCGAAAATAATCATTTTATTGTAATAAAATTTGGGGTACGAAATCTTACAAGTTTTGAAATTGGTGTTCGAAATCTTACAAGTTTTGAAATTGGTGTTCGAAATCTTACAAGTTTTGAAATTGGTGTTCGAAATCTTACAAGTTTTGAAATTGGTGTTCGAAATCTTACAAGTTTTGAAATTGGTGTTCGAAATCTTACAAGTTTTGAAATCGGTGTTCGAAATCTTACAAGTTTTGAAATTGGTGTTCGAAATCTTTCAAGTTTTTCAAGTATATAGTTAGATGATAGTTTCTAGAACTGGTAGGCTTTAGTGATTCTTCTGGGTGTCTGGCTCAGAGTTTTAGACGTAAATGAGTTTATATTGCATTCTTAGCTATCTTTGTTATTGTTAAGTAAGATTTGCTGATCTGATTTCAAAAGTAGTGGGAGTAAGAAAGGGTCTAATAGGAATTTTTGGATATTACTAGGTGTTGATGAGTCAGAGATTAGAGAGTTATGATTTGGGATTGGTGGGTAAAAGTTTCAAGCGTGTTGTATGCCTCGGGGTTGATGGGTAACAGATTAAAAAATTATTTACGAAAAGTAGAACAGAATTTTGGGGCTATCTTAACTAAGCGATAGGGATAAAAGTATTTTCTAGCTTAGATATCAAACATTTTTTTTCTTTTTTAATTCTAATTTAGAATTGTAGTGTAAAACATTTTTTCTCTGGAGATGAAGTATTGTAATTTGATATTAGCTAAGAATAGACATCCTAAAACTAGTAGTAATTTAATTGTCGAATTTCATATAGAAATAGTCTCGGGATGAAGGGTTGTTTTATGATCCTCATGTTCGTTGATCGTTTTTATTAGTTTTCTTATTGCCGAAGGATTTTTCTTTGTGGAGCTGGTGGAACACGTTCAACAGCCTGAAATAATATCTCGCCTTTGACACTGCATTCGTTATTGCAACAAAGGTCCCGTTGATTTATTAAATCCTTCAGGTTCGTGCGGGTTCAGACAGTACTGGTTGAAAGTCGTAATTCAAGCGATCGTTGGCGAACAGAGAAACGGAGGAGGAAACGCGAAAATATCGCGACAACGCAAACAAACGTTTGTCAGGCCGGACGAGAATATATGGGCAAGGGGTGTTTTCGCAATTTTTGAACTGTTTTCTTGTTTTTTTTTTAAAACAATAACAGTCCCTCTTTTAGCTAATAATTGAAAGGAGAGAGGGTGATACATAACACTCGAGATAACGGGCAAACTGTGACGATTCTGCGAGTAGAAATAAAAAAAGTCGATGTTTTTTATACGAACAGATATCATGAATGACAAGACAGACCGAATAAAATTATTGTATTTACAGTGAATCTGTATGATATGAATTGCAAAATTGGACAATCGGTTTACTTGTAGTCTGACATTATCAAACTGCGTCCAATTCACTCAAACATCAATCCAGTGTGTACATCGTCAGACTCTGCCTAACTTTAATCAATAGTGGTTACGAAATTCTACCAAAATCTGTCAGAGTTCATTAATCAAACACAAATGAACCGATGTCGGATACTGTGGAACTGTGTCAAACTACGAACAAACCCAACCAGATTTTGTCAGGCTCCATGAGAGCCTGTCAGACTTCGTCAGACTGCATTTAACTACGGTCAAACTTTGACAGACACCACGTAATCTAGTCGAACTATATTAAACTTTACGCGAGTCTTAGGTAAGTGGCCCAGAGTCCATAAAAGTCTGTCAAACATCGATGAAACATTCACTCTACTACTTTAGACTAAATTAAAACACACGAAATCATGTAACTGACAATATTTGACAAATCGATCCACCAATGATCATAAATTACATACAAATTTGTTTGAGTTAAAAAGAAACAATTTAACAATTTCTCCTGTTTCTACTCGCCGATACATCAGTTTGCCCCACAAGTCCTAGAATATTCAATAAACAAAATTAAACGAAGAATTAATATTACACACGAATAGGACACGACCACCACCCAAGCACTAATTTAACGAATTTCTGTCACTTGTTTTGCACACAGACTCGTCGTCTTACCGATCGAAAGGCGAGTATACAAAACTGAATTCAAGGCTTTACCACGCAACCGTAGTGTCGTTCGTTTTCAGTCTCTGTTTTTCTCGATGTCCCTTTAGTTGCCTTAGTTTCCATCCAACTTAGAAGACTGTTTTTCTTTATCCACCCCATTCACCACCACCAACACCACACCATCATCGTCACACCCCACTCACCCCCTTGCGCGCAACTGATTTACGTCTACTACAGCCTGTACAGAAGCTCTTAATTGCTGCTGGCCCGGCCGATTGTTCTGCGAACTAAGCGTTGCTCATTAAGCTGTTCGGGAAAGTTTTCCGCCTTCCAACCGGTAAACTGACTTCCCAGCGTATTTGAACTGTTTAACGGGGTGGCACCTCTCCACCTTTGTACACCTTTATGTTCGAGAGCAAGAAGATCGTGGGGAGAAGGAGACGATAGGTCTGACTAAAATAGATGTTAAAGGATCCTTGGACGCGTTATGAAGGCGCCAATGACGCAACCGCGTGGGCCCGAGCAATTAAGTGGCTCCGTTATGTGGATATTTTCGTATCCTTTATGGGGGAGCCGCGTGAGGTTGGTGCACACTTGGATGGAACTTAGGGTCCATTTGGGAATAGGGAGGATCAGATCTATGGTCGATGTTTTGCGTAGGTAATTAGTGTACGGTTTAATTAATTGTTTAATTGTCGATGGAGCTGCTGGCAAAATATTAATTGGTAGTTTTCTTGATCCAATTTGGAAAGTTTGGTACGTGACTTTATCGTTGTGAATAAACGTTGGTTTAGATGGGATTTCATTACAAGTCGAGTTCATATGAATTTGAATAATATTAATCGAATTAATGTTAAAAATTATATTACAATTTAAACACTCTGTTTCGAAAATTCGTTATCGAATCAGAAATTTAATATTACATGTTGAATTTAATTATACAGGGGAGACCAGCTAAATAGATTCCCCTAAATTTTTTTGTTATTCTATGAAAAAACTTCCCAGGACAGAGTTGCTCTATTTCAAGGTGAACATGTAACAGTAGAATGTCTTCTCAAGGTCATCTTCTATGAGATTTCAAGGTCAACAATAAATAAGGCAAACATTTAGGTAATCCCATTTAGCTGATCCATCCTATATATAAAAATTCGAGTTGAACAACCAGCTTTATTATATTCATAATTACATTAAAAAATTGTTGTTTGAAAGTCTATTTCAGAAGACAATATTCATGAATCCAAATTTCGTAAGCCCATCTTCTATTTATAATTCAACTAGTCGGTCAAAAATTCTAATATTCAATCAAACAATGAATACAAATTTAAAGACACAATTTCTCTACGCCAATTCTTCCTGTAGAATCGATTATTAAAATTCCACCTATTAAAGCTTACCAATTTACGCCACATAACCATTAACAATTAAGTATTCCTATACACCTAACAATACCATTCTCTGTTCTCAACTGACCTGTCGTAATTTCAAACGACAAAGGATCCTCACGCGACGCCCACATATCAGCCTGTATCGTCCGTCAGAACCGGAGTGTCTTTCCAGTATGTTAGTTCACCGCGGAACGTCGACCCGTACCGTTAATAAACTATCTATCGTCCGGGTGTACCTGTCTTGCAAATATTTAACCACGTTGGATCAAACAATCTAACGAGTGTGTAACCTCGGTAACTGATTCGTTGGATCGCGTGTTTGCCCGATTACGCGGGCCTCCCCCCCCCCCCCCCCCACCGTTCCCTGATTTGCATAATTATGTCCGTTCGTCGCGGAGCGACTAATGGCCGATAAATTCGCTCGGCGAGAACCCGTGTACGAACACAGAGAGCCGTTTCATTAATTGTACTCGGGCCGATGTTCCGATCGGGGGTTTGGGGAGGCAAGGCCGAAGAAAAGGGAATTGCATAATCGTCGGACTAACACTGTTATCGTGCCCGGTGCATCATCCTCCTCCATTCGCTCGTCGTTGCCAGTTTTAATCGTTTCAAGCTCTACTCGACATTCACTCCACCTCTCTTTCTGCGTGTGTACCCTCTATGCACGCCTCTTCTTGCCGTAATTGTTCCGTAGAGTAATTCTATCTTCGCCTATACGGTGCTGGGTTTGCTGTAATCAGAAAAATTGTGAGAATTTCGTTCTTTTTGTTTTTACAAGACGCGTAATTATCCGGCTGACACGGTTGGCTGACGCTACTTGCGGATGAAGATGAAATAGATCATTCGATGAATACGTAATTGGGATGAACTGTTAATGGGCTTATGTTCGTTTGGTTTATGGGGGAAGTTCAACGACCGGCTTGATGGTTTCTGAAAATTTAATATCTGACGATTGGTTATCGGAATCTATCACGGAGGTAGTATTATTATTTCGGGCATTCCGCGAGAAATCGGATATTTTTTGAGGGAATATTTCGGATTTTGTTGACATTTGAATATGGTATAGTGTTCAGTGGAATATAAACGTATCTCGACGGATTTTTGAACATTTTTTAAATTGTTAATTCTACAGCTGTTTGAAATATTGTGTCATGCTTTTTTCAATAAATCGTAACTTGTTGAACTAACAAACTAATGAAAATGAGCTTCATGGGTGCTTGTAGTATACACATAAGAGTGCCTAACAAAAAGTATTTCAGTTTAAAATAATATTTATTATCCATTTATTTTGCAATTGTTTTAAAGAAATGCAATTTTATAATAGTAAGATCCAATTGAAAAATTTTAAGAAAAGATGAGGATATAGTTTTATTTGTTCTCTTTGTGCACAAAATTACAAAAATATGGACATTTCAAAAATGGCCGCATGAATATTCATTGAAGTTGACGCTACGTCGAAGCACACCGGCTCTGATCCAAAATTATAATATGAAATTTGTATGTTTTGATGAATATTTATCCTTTAACTGTTACGTTGGGGTCCTGGAGTACGTCGAACAGTACAAAATTGTCATAATTTCACTCTGAAGATGCAAAGTGCATGGGCGTAGCTGGGACGGGAAAAACTGACTTTTGCCCCACCCTACAAGAAAAAAATTGGATTTTGCCCCTTCCCAGAGTTACAAAATTTGTGTGTAATATTTAATATTGCATTATAATTTGAAACACGACCAACAGCCTCCATTAACAAACCGCATACACTGTCAACGATCTATGACTTTAAAAACAAAATAAAATGTGTCTGACTACGTACAGCCTTTTTCACTGTGGCAGTCGATGTGTTAATATTTTTTTCCCCGTGATAACCTGGCTACGCCCATGGCCAAGTGTCTTAATAATTTTCTGTTAGGTGAAATCCTGCAATTTATCGATCTGTTAGACTAATTACACATCACAAAACACCAGAGTAAATCCACGTAGCAGTTAAGGGTTAAGAAACATAGCGAACGTACTTTCACGTAGACTCGCAAGAAGCCAGCCTACCGTCTCGATTGCGAGATCGATCTAATCACGGTGTCTGGACCAAATCGATGAACAAACCACAGACGCCCAGTTCCGCCTCCCAAATTTTTTCTCTCTCACAATCAAATCATCGGTTTCGAATGCGTTTCCTCACCCCCGAAAGGGTTCATTAAATCGTGTATCGCTGCTGACGCAACCGTTTCGAATTCGCGTGGAACTGTTCGTTACAACACGACGGACTCAGCAGCACACCACCTGAACACCTTATCTCTCCTCACACGCACACACCACGCCACATACACTGTCATGGAACGTTGGTAAATTGTGTGAATTCATGTTGAATGTCTCCCAGTTCGTACCAATCCCCCCCCCCATCTTGTGCACAACACAAACGTCGAGGATTGCCGGTCCCAGTAGCTCACGATCCATCCCGTCGAGCATCGAGCCCTTGACTCTCTCTTTATCGATCCGAGTCTCTTACGTCGAATTAAGGCCGATCGATTCGCGGCCGATCTCTCTGCTCACGCTATCGATCCGAATTCGATGCTGCAATGCGAGCTCTCACCCAACCACTACCCCCTTCACTCGCATTTATCGTAACGATATTTCACCGATATCGGCTCGACGTTTCGCGTTTAGAACGCGGATTAGTCGTTCCAGGGCCGATTTATGAGCTTTATATTGCTGGTTCGTGAACGGTTTTCGAGGAAACATGAACACCGCCGACGGTTCTTGCTCGACTGGAATGTATCTGTGGGTGGATATGCAGCTGGTGAAAAGTTCGGTAAAGATTGCTGGCTTTCTTCGATCCTTCTGCAGTATTGCATTGCTATTCCTTGAATTAAGTTGAGGAAGTATGGAGGGTGCCTCAGGTCGGGTTAGGAGGTGATTCTATAAGGAAATATAAGTGGAAAAAGAAGAATATATTTTTTCATAAGAAGCTTTGTTTTTTGAGAAAATCGACTTAGAAATTTCATCGAGTATGCGAATTTAAATTCGTAGTGGCAATAAGGTCAGTGTCCCTATTTCTAATCACGTCCGGATTTCTGCTCAGTACGTATATTTTTTATTTAGTGTAAAAAGTTAAGGAATAAATTAGTTATACAAAATATTATTTAAATTAGTTCAGTAGTTTCGTACAAAATGCTACAGGCCGCTGTTCAATACATGGCAGTATTTTAATAGAAATAAATTTAAGAAGTTTATCCGTCATTTTTACTAACAAAAATTTACGGAGTCTTTAATATTGTTCGCTAAAGTTTTGTTTTGACATTTCCATTTTCGCTGAGCAGAAATAGGACATTTTATACTTCATCATAAATTAACTTTTATTTAAATTTAATTATAAAGAGAGATTTAAACTTTATACCTAAAAAGCTTTTTTGTTGAATGTTGCATAAGTAAATAATAAAAATAAATTTCTGCGATAGCAGAACTCTTAGATGATTAGAAATAGGGACATTATTGACTTTAAGTAGAAACTAAATGTGATGGACAGACGCGTTAGCCAAGTCCTAGTCGATTGCACACGTATCCAGTAGAGATTTTCAAATTCGATCATCTGGGAAACAAAGCATCATAGGAAATGATTTCATTCCATATTTGCGATTTGTTTTTGCATTTAGAATAACCTTCTGCCCGGTTGTAGTACTCGAACTGAGACACTTGCGAATTATTTTGGTAAAAATCTAAAATATTTAAAAATTTTGTAAAATACATAATTAGATTTTCTGTTTTCCTTCACATCATAGATTGTTTCCGAACTTCTGACTGGTGGTGTATATCTTCAAGTTCATAGAATTGTCGAAAAATAAATTTTGAAACCACGAACCTAATGTTATGGTGAAATCAAAATTCAATGCAATTTGAAACCAGAAACCTGAAGATTGGTTGCTTAGGTATTGTCAACAAGAGTTCTATTTTATATTTTTAGTGATGATTCCGAAGTGGTTTTAAAAATGTTTGCGAACCGTTGAGCCGATATCGTTACAGTGTCTCCACCCTTACACTCTTCGACTCATCTGGACATTCTACTCATCGTCATATAGAACGTAGATCCTTTTTTGGGAAGTGGGTCGTTCGATGGACTAATTATTTTTTTAATTATTCCCTATAGCACGTTCCCAGGGAACTCGAAACCACCGATGTACACCGAATTGCACCAGGATAACAGCCTGTCTCTGTATTTCAACTCCCTTCAGGAGGAGCAGGCTGGGAAATACATGTGCAGGGGCACTTATGCGAATTCGATACAGCTGAACAAGACTGTGACAATTGAAACTATCGGTGAGTAATTTATATCTAATTAATGTCTCATTTAAAGAACCGTCTGTGCTCTGTGAACAATCCGAACTATTTGGGCTCGTACTTTTGAAAAATACAAATTTTTAAATATTAAAAGTCTGCAAAATCTGGAAAAGAAGATTGAGAATTATAATTATAATTCTTCAACTGATTCGAAACATTGAAGTAGGGTTTGATTGACTATTCAAACACACAGATGTATTAACTTACCTTTTCCAGCAGGTATACATATTTAATAATCATTTGTGATTCTCTGTGTCCACGTATTCGAGGCTACATTCCTTTCATTATGCAATAGTATTTAGTCTACGTAGTATGTGTTTTATGAATTTTCTTTAATCTTGATGTTGATGAAATCAGAGAAAAAAATCAGTTTATTTATTTATTTATTTTTTTTTACCATACAACAAATTCCTTTCGTATATTAGAACGTTACAATAAAATATTCATATTCGTAAAAATTGAAGTTCGTAATTTTCACGGAATTCGCGAAACTTTGTACTCAGGAAAAGAGAATGTTGTGCTTGAATAATAATTACTGTTTCACAGTGGCGATCACTTGGGACGACGCGCCCCAGAATCAATACCCAATCCTTGGAGAAGACTTCCCGATTCAGTGCAAAGTACGCGCGAGGCCTTCGCCCTTAGTCGACTGGCTCTACAACGGTGAATTAATTAAGACGAACGACCACTACATCATCGACAAGTACGCGCTGAAGATCAAGAACGTACAAGAATCCGACGACGGGATCTACACTTGCCGAGCATCGGTGTTGAACACGGGAGAGCTCAAAGAACGACCTATTCGTGTCGAGGTGAGCATTGGCAATTTTTTGCTTCCTTATACCGGGTGTTCGTCGTCTTAACCCTCATCCGTCCTTCATTTTCTCAACTTAACTTGTCCCTCGACGTCAAATTGACACAGTGGTAAAAATTTAATATAACGAAAAGATAAATATTTAAGTTTGCAAATACTTTAAAATCATGGAGCTTCAGCTATGTTTACTTACATCTGACAGAATAACTTTATTTCGTAGGAGCAATATATGTCAAATTGGGGCAAGGGATGGATAAGGGTTAACGACCAGAAAAACTAGCTTTAAAAACAAATTACGAAACGCAGGCTTGAACCTTACTCAAATATTGCCAGAAAAATTGATATTAATATAAGGACCTCGGTAAAATAATTCAAACTTCGTTCATATTTCAACGAATTATAGTTACTTTATTAACAGAAATACATGTGCATCATTAGCCTATGTTTATTTTACAATTTAAAGATAAAAAATTAATCAGAAATTCTATAGACATTGTCAAGAACAATATTACATACCATCTATATGATCTACATTAATATTTGGTAATTGAAACGTAAACGCTACAAACTACAAATATTCAAAATAAATCCATTTGAATCCAAAATTCAAATAAAAGCGAAACCCGCAGAAACGAACAATTCAAGAATCATCGTATAAAAAATTCCAGAACACAGTATTCGCGGTTGCGAAACAGGTTACACGAAAACATTATTTTACCATTTGCAAACAGAATCCAGTACCGAGCCCGAAAACGGGGAGTGTATCGTTCCCCCGCTGCTGATCTCCATAATTAACGCGCGGCCTCTTCTCGCCCACAATTGCGTCGGCCAATTATTCCCGGGTCGTGGCGTTCGCCGCACGGTATATCAGACGGGGTTTGCATTTCATTTAACAGGTGCACGTGCGCCCGACGGTGACGGATCTCTCCAGTCCGGTCGACATAATCGAAGGGGAAGACGCGAGTATACAGTGCCAAGCTCTCGGTAAACCGCCGCCGAAATTCACCTGGGTGAAGTCGTTGACGCAGCAGAATCTCTCGAGCGCCGACCGTTTCGGCGTGGACGCGGACACCGGGATGTTAACGATCACGAACGTGAACAGAGAGGATGCTGGTGAATATCAGTGCACAGCGACGAACGCGGCCGGCACAGCAAACACGAACATCATGGTGAACGTGATAGTCAAGCCAAAGATTATGGAGTTTCTGAACGCCACCGTGGTGCAGGATAAAGAGGCGACAATCGTGTGCAAAGCGTTCGGCAGACCTCCTCCCCAAGTGACATTCCGAAAGCACACGAATGACAAGCCTTACGTGAAAGGAGCCCAACCAGAGGACGACAGAGTGATCCTCACGAATAGTCAAGACGATATCACTGGCGAGACAGTCGGTACTTTGACCATCCACGAAACTATGAGATCGAACGACGGTCTGTACGAATGCATCGCTCAGAACGCTGGGGGGGAGGCACGCCGGAACGGACATCTCATGGTAGAGTTCCCGCCATCTTTCGCCTCGATGCCGAACAAGACCGTCTGGTCATGGGAACAACGGCCAGTGAACATCAGCTGTATCGCGGAGAGCATACCGAACGCGACTATACGATGGACGATACACGGGGATCAGAAAATCGACAACGACGCGATGATCAAACAACTTGGCAATGGGCCACTGTCGACGCTTATGATCGCGCCCCTCGACAGGCGATATTACACAACCTACAAATGCATCGCGTCGAACACGCACGGTACACGGGAGCATAATATCGAGCTGAGAGAGGCGACCCGACCGGGGGAGGTGTTGCAGTCGAAAATGGTCGAGATTACCGCGACCACGATCAGGTTCGAATTGGTGCCGCCCACCACGCATCCGGAATTGCCCGTCAGGACGATCGTTGTGCAGTACAAGGAGGACAGGCAGACCTGGACGGAGGCTAAGAATAAAACGTGGTCTGTTGGTGAGTATCGGGGATTGGTTTGTTGGATTGACCAGAGGAGATTGAGAGAAATTATATAGGTTCGAGTACAATTTTTTGTTTTCGTCAAAGTCGGAAGAATGGGTACAGTTATGTATTACCCCACTATGCGGCCTGTGTCCCTCTATCTGCATGCGAAGGGTCTATATTGCCAGTTAGTTTAGTCACGGATTAGTTCGTGTAATGACGTGTCTTAATCTGTGTTACGTACAAGAAATGGAAGGCAATTTAGGTCTGGCAAGAAAGTTTCGAGTACAGTTTTTTGTTTTTCGTCAATGTCGCGTCCGTCCGCGTGGATTTCTCTTTCGAATCCGCCTGGAGTTGTAAATTCCAGGCTCGACCGTCGTGGTACGCGTCCGGTTGCGAACTGTTGCCCGCCAAATTAATATTAGGCAACTGTTTCAATTTCTTTAGTGAGAAAAACGAATAATTGCTCGACCGTTGGAGCTGGCGAATCGTGATGCGAATGTTGTCGAATGATTGTTCGATTGCGAGTTAATGCGAATGAATTGAGTCCGTGTGACTCTAGTCGTAACGAGTGCGAGTTTTCGAATGATTGTTGTCGAATGACTGTTCGATTATGAGTTAATGCAAATGAATTGAGTCCGTTTGACTCTTGTCGATACGAGTACGTGATGTCTTGAGTCCGTGTGACTCTTGTCGAACGAGTGTGTTTTGCGACCGAATGTTTGCGAACGAGTGATTCTAATGAATGTTTTCGACCGAATGTATCTTTTCGACTGTCTGTTCGAGTTTCGTGTGACGTCGCGCTTCCTCAAAGTTCGATGAAGGCGTGACCAAAACTCGCCTCCTTATTGGTGATGCCCTGAAGGGGAAGGCAAATTTCTCGGGTTTTCCACGCGACGCGGAGGTGGAATACCTCTCCTTCAGGGCGAAGCGGACGTCAGGAAAATATCGCGCACGTGGTCGCGGTGCGAGTTGACCGCGACGAATTTTCGAGTCTCTCAACGGTAGGGTTTTATGACTATATTGTCTGCGAGTCAGCGCGCCCCGGTAAGGCCCGGCGCGGATGGGTCCCAGGTTACCGAGCGCATGTGGCGGACTGCAGACCATAATGTTCGCTTCTTTGTATATTATTCTCTTTGTGTTAACGAGATTGAAATTGCAAAGGGTCGGTCTTGAAAATATATAAATTGACTGAAAGAAGGAATAAAATAATAAAAAGTAACGGTATCGTCTGATTGTATAACCGTCGTTTCGGTCTACGACGGAACAGTCAAAGTCGGAAGAATGGGTACAGTTATGTACTACCCCACTATGCGGCCTGTGTCCCTCTACCTGCATGCGAAGGGTCTATATTGCCAGTTAGTTTAGTCACGGATTGGTTCGTGTAAAGACGTGTCTTAATCTGTGTTACGTACAAGAAATGGAAGGCAAGTTAGGTATGGCAAGAAAGTTTCGAGAATTGTCTCGAGTTGCGTGTACATTACCATTTGTAAGTATTAGGACACCTGGTTCGTATGAAGGAAATGTGACGTTTTGTAAAAATTACATATGTTATGCTACTTTGTAATGCCATTAACGTTACCCATCGAGCTTTAATATTATCCCCTAAACGATATCTACAGTGAATCATCAATGAGTGTTCGGAGGCTTCTTGGCGCTAAGTGTTCAGACTTTCCACGGGAACTCAGTGGTAGAAATGATGTTTGAACATCCAGTGTCGAGGAGCCTTCGAACCTTCATCGATGATTTACTGTATTTCAGACATTCAGCAATTTCGTAATGCCTTCTAATACATACTGCACTTTCGATAAGTGTCCTAATACTTTTGAGCGGGAGTGTACATCTGGAATCCCGTGTGTGCAGTCTCAAGAGGGACTATACGTTGAAGATGATAGCCTCGCATAAAGAATTCATCTCGAAACATTATTGTCACACCTAGTATACAAGAAGTATCTTCCGTGTCTCTAACTTGCTCTCTAGAGCAGGGGTGGCCAACGTATGCATGCGCCAAACGTAGCGCATTGGAAGATTACAAGTTTCATCATAAAATTTCCTCCCCTAAACGAAGCAGATCCTACCCCTATCCCTATTTTCCAACCCCAACCATGTATTGTATGACGCATCTGAACTCGTATGTGAAAAAATTGGCGCATGGTATGTAAAAGGTTGGCCACCACTCTAGACAGTGATTCATACATAAGGACATAAAAGAATACAGTAAAAAACATAAAAAGAATACAGATCACTTAGAAATGATCTTATCATAATTATCTATCGTTCCAGACTCGTACTACGTCATCGAAGGTCTGAAACCGCAGACCCCATACGAATTCCGGTTCGCCGCGTGGAACGACGTCGGTCTTGGTACCTGGGGAGCGATGTATCGCGAGGTGACGCCCGGTAGAACCTTCCCGAACCAACCGAAGATAATAACGCCGGCCGCCGAGTACGACGTGTCGAAGTTCAATAATCAATACGAATTGTCGTGGTTGGTCCCGGCCGACAACGGCGAGCCGATCGACATGTATCAGATCAAGTACTGTCAGATAAAACGCGTGTCAGGCGAATGGGAGGTGCTGGAGAACACCTGTTGGACGGAGGACGTCAAGACCCAGGGCAGGACGAGGCACTGGCTTAAGAACCTGTACTCGGACACGTTCTACAAGATCGAGCTCAGGGCACACAACGCGATGGGCTTCAGTCAGCCGGGGACCGCGAAGTTCAAGACGGCACGGGGTAAGTGTCCATTTTGTTTCTGTCACGTGGACCGAGGAACGGTGTTCGTTTCATTCCGCAATTTTTTCCATCTTTGAGACCGTTCCCGTCAGTATTAGTGCCCTTTTTCAAATCGTAATTATATCTCTTTGAAATATTATTATTATATGTGCACGAGGCTATTGCACCGATTGATATGTTTTTCTTATTTTTTTTTTTTTTTTTTTTTTTTTTAATTACATTGACGAGAGACCGTTTAATTATCTTCGCCTCTATTTTGTTCACTCAAGGAGGAGGGAAAAGGGTCATTGAGGTATTTTCGATTGTTCGATTCGTGGTTTATCGGGAAGAGAACATAGTCCCAGCGGCAGCTCCTTTTTGGATCGTCGGAGGACTGATCCGTGAGATCCCGACCATCTGATCTACCCTGTCTCCTTTGAATACATCCTTATCTCCTACCATCGAATGGTTTCGTCGTTTTTATCGTAGAATACATTTACTTTATTAAAAAATACTAGTCTCTAAAAATCATAGAATAATACAGCGGTAAGAGTCTACAATACAGTACAGAATTCTAAACATTGCAAACTTTATTTCGACATAACATTTATATAGAACTTTGTAAATTATCTGAAGCTCACATATTATTGAGATCCTTGTATTCAGAATTGTTCAGCAGTCGAAGATTCAACGATCCTATTGTAAGCGATCAGAGACAAAACCCAGACGTCTCCATCCATCCTTTCTTCCCCCCCAAAAACCATCAACCCCTCCAGCCCCCTTCAAAGGCCGCCAAAAGCAAATCACAAGCGACGACAATGTCGCTCGAGAGAAGCAGCAACGTTAACGTATCGCTCGATTCGACAATTAAGAGAGTCCCTCAGTCCCCTTGACCCTTGTAGACGAAGCGATTTAGAGAAACAGTCGAGGTAGCCACTCGATGGGCATATCTAGGCACTAGATGATCCCCCTATTCTTCCCTCCCTTGAACAATGTCTCAAGCCGCAACGATCCTTTTACAAGTCACTTTTTATCATTCAGAATCTACGGGCCTCAATGTGGACTACAATATAGATACTTCCGCCGGAGGTACTCCCAAGCTCGCCGTGACCGCCATTGCTACAGCAATTCTATTAGTAGCCATTTAAAAAAAGAACGAAACACGAACGAAAAACAAAAAACAAACGAAAAGAGGCACACAATAAAAGAGAGTATAAAACCGATTGCAAAAGTCATCGTGAAGATAAAAAAAAAAACCGCGGGTCGCTGTGTTCACGCTCGGAAAACGTACCATACTTTCCTATTTTTTTTCTTCGTGTGTACCTACACGTTAAGCGGTGGTGTGCAGATCGGAGTACCGAGGGTATACGCTGCTACCGCCATCTGGCGGCGTACCCACGCTTCTCGTCTGTATACGCGCCGGTTCGCATTTTTATTCCGTTATAACCTCGAAATCCCGTGGGTAAACTCGACATGCGCGTATACATTCATCGGTAGTTGTATCAGGACGCGGGGAACACACATGGTTTTACCACACACATGCACGCGCGATTTAAACAATTTGTAAAGTGTCGCCGCGTCGCTTGATAAAAACCCCGGTGCACAACATTCCGATTTTGAGACGTGGAAGGAAAAAGAGGTTATACATACACACACACACACACACATATTTAGCGCATAAGTGGGTGGTTCCGATGTACCAGTGAGAAAGATATGAGAGACATGCAGTGCGGAGTGTATTTATGGTGCCCGTTCGAAAGTGCGCTCGCCGTTAGGCAAAAAACGTACTGGTACGCGTTCTCTTTGTATTTTAGTGCTAAGGCCACGCGGTTACGATATATGTATGGACTCTTCCGAAAGGGGACTCGCGCGAACATCTCGATCCGTGTGTGTTCGCGCGCGACACCGACGAAGCGAAGAGCGCATCGCGAATACGGGGATAAAACGGAAACAAATAAATGAGGATTATCTCCAGTTTCCTGCGCAGAGTTTCAATCGTAGGTTTACGAAGGACGTCGATAGGAGTGCGCACATTTTCTGGACGGTTTACGGTGTCTCGATAACGAGAGGAATCGCTGGAATTGGTGTCTCGTAAATGCGCTCTTTTACGCCTCGTTGGGGGGGGGGGGAGTCCGTACAACCGGTGAAAAACCGACGCTTCACGTCGCAGGGCGTCAACTGCGGATCTATTTTAGCGTACAGTGAGAGGCTCCACAGGCCTGACGACTTACTGCCTTACATTGCCAAATGCCTAGTGTTAGAACGCGGTGTTCTACGGAGATGGGTTATCGGGTTTATTGACGAGGGATGTTGGAAATTTTTTTATTTTCGTTTTTTCTTCTCCGAGAGAGGAGAAATTTTTGGGGGTAATCCCGTGGTATCGTACTGAATAAGTGGGTTTTGATGTGGGGACACAGTCGAGGCAGAATCGAGTGACGACTGATAAAACATAGTTCCGCCATTTTTGCTCGTTCTTCTTTCCTTTTGGAGATGAGAGAACCTGTAGCTGGTGATTTATAAATCTTTAAAAACTGGAGATTGCGAAGGGGTAGTTTTGCTATAAACTTCGAAGTATTAAGAAACTATTGCAGCTATTAAATAAATATTACCTAAGGAATATTGTCTCTGGCACTGAGGCAATACATTTAAGCGAACTAAAAAAGACTCTTACAGTCCTGGGATTATTTGTAAACGAAATAGGTAGGAAGAATTGTCTTACTATTTCACCTCAGTTATCTGTTCTTTTAATAATAACCACAAGTAATACCGTGAAATGGTAGAGGAAAAAGGTAGCAAAAGTGACCCGAACAAAAGTAGAATCAGTACACTCGGCCGTCCTCGAATCGACACTCGATTCCGCTCGAACTATAACGACTTATTTCGTGTAGTTCAGTAGAGTACATATGGTTTCGAAGGGAAATATTTTCGGGTGTCTGATTACACAACGAATGGTAGATTTCGAGGAGATTTTACAGATATAAGGGTAACGGGAGCCTCGCGACAAACATCGAAATAAATAACGTTGGACAATACACCCAAGCACATCTTCCAGCTTGCACTACACGTTCTCCCCCTAATTCGCGAAAAAATCCGTTTCCGTCAACGACAGCCTCTGACACTGTAGGGCTCACTGTCTGTGAGTTTGGACGACCCACACATAGCCACACACACGCGCGTTTATTCGTTCCGGCCGCCAAATCGACGTCTCACGGACGCGTCGCCGCCTCCACCCCCGTGCGATATACGTTTTCTAGCCAAAGAACCGCAGGATACTTAAAACCACGCTACTCGTATTCGACGCGGAGAAGCCCGAGGTAACGGAAAAAAAAAAAAAAAAATGAAAATCGGATCCGCGAGATTATACTGGACCTGCACAACCGAAGGGCATTCCGCGGGGAACGGGAGCACCGCCGATCTTAACCATATTACATAGATTGCGCATAAGCATAGCTTTTAGTTCTTTCCCTTTATTATTCGTTGGGTTCCGTTTTTTCGCGGGCCGATTTTGCATACGATTTTTTTCTCTCCTCTTGCGTACAATTCTGTTTTTTTTTTTTTTTTTTTTTTTTTTTTTTTAAATATACGTATACAATTAATTTTCTGGGGATGAATCAATTTTTTTTACCACTCGAGTCATCATTTTTAGTCCTGCTTGATTAGCTAATTGGACAATACGTGTTTTAGTGCGCATGATGTGTGTTTTCTGATTACAATTATTCTTAATATTACGATTACGTTTTAACTTTATTATTATTATTATTATTATTATTGTTACGATTATTATTATTATTATTAATTGCGTAAAATAGCCGCTGTATTTTTACTATAATTGTTATCATTATCGTCGCCGATATCATGCCGTCAGTTGGCTACCGATCACCTATTGTACACATCGTATCGTCATTACCATTTTAGTATTATCGTTGCAATCGCTGATCGGACCGTTGTATAAGAGACGACGATATATACGTATATAGGTGCTCCGTACGAGACCGGGCGACGGTTCGAGGTGTATTTATCAGACGATCCCGTCATACAGGTAATACGAAACGGTCTTTTCACGAGCTCTGGACCCACGTCGTGCTCTGGAAGTTTATCGATCGACGGTGGAAGAGTCATCGTTGAAATTGACGACGGGGTCGTCGGCACCTCGATCCCTCACGTCTACACACTTGCCTGGGTTCTTAGATGTTAGATTACACCGCATGGCATGCGCTTGTATTGTTTCAATTTTCTTTTTTTCTCATCCTCCTACCCCGTCCCCCACTCCCACCACCATCGACCTTCCGCTCTTTCTCTTTTTCTGAATCTATTTTTAGTTTCGATTAGCGACGTTCGCCTGTGTTCCGTCGGCGACACTTCCATTCCATCGTACGTACCTTTTTCGTGCCGAAGGATTCCGTGTTCTGTGTGTAAACGTGGCCGAGTCCGAATGATCTAGTGTGAATTGTAAGTAGGAGGCAAGCGCGAGCGTTCGATGAACGACGGTGGGGATTGTTTTTTCTTTTCGATATCTCGAAGTGTCGAGTGAAAGATTGGGAAGATAAAAAGTATTTAGGCACTAGGAGATGGAGGTTACCATTTTTGACAAATGAAAGGTATTTGAGGTACCGTTTTTCGATAAGTGAAAGGGAGTTGAGGTACCATTTTTGACAAATTCAGGGGACTTGGGGTACCATTTTTGACAAATGAAAGTGATTTGAGATACCATTTTTAACAAATTAAATGGACTTGAGGTACCATTTTTGACAAATGAAAGAGATTGGGGTACCATTTTTAACAAATGAAAGGGACTGGGTTACCGTTTTTAACAAATGAAAGGGACTGGGTTACCGTTTTTGACGGATGAAAGGGATCGAAAAAAAGGGCTAATTACCAATATGGACGATGATACTGAATTTTTTGGTGAGAAGCTTTGAGGAATTTACGATTAGATAAAAAAGGCATGAATGAATGAAATCCAATATGAAGTAGACATGCCTAAACGACAGTGGATACTTTTCTGTAAAAACTTAGTTTTTACTTTAACATTAGAAAAAATATATTTGATTACCGAGAGGACCGTATATGATTTTGGACCCACAACTCCTATTATCGGAGCGATTAAATTAGTCTCGTTAAGTGCGCACAGGTCTCCAATTACGTGATAAATGAAATTTTTGTAATTTTAATACTGTTAAGATCATCGAACCTGTCTACTATAAAAACAAATGACGTTTGATAGTGCAAACTATCGCGCGTTGAACGCTCGCACGGTCTCGCGTTTAGGATACATGTAAACGAACACGTTTGCAGTCGCGTTATACCGACACAGTCGTGAAGATAAAAGGTTGAGTGCAAGACGATGTGATCGATAACAATTCGTTCGCTAGAGATGTACCATCGTGTATTATATGAATCAATAACAACCAAGGAATCTCGTGGTCCCCGTAAGGGATGCGTATTAAAATAAAAAAAAAAACGTACATAAAGAATCTCAGTCAGAGAACGAGAAAATTCTGTGGTTCCGAGGAGGAGAGGAAAGTTTCGTTTTCGAATCTTATTCGTCAGGATTAAAATATATTTAGGTACTACATAGGGAAAATATTTAATAGGTTTCCTTGCAAGTAAAAAAGCATTAAGAGATATATATATATATATATATATATATATATATATATATATATATATATATATTTAAGGTATGTAAAGTTATCGGTTTAAAAAACACTTGAACGTTGCGTTTTGTAATTATTTGGAAAATAAACATTGGTTGGAACAAGTTCAGATACGCTTCTGCAGTATTCTGTCGTTATGTGTTACCTCGATAGAAAATTCCGTTTGCTTTTTTAGATCTCGACGAAAGAAAACTGCCCTCGATATACGTTCCACGACAGATCCGAAGTGGGTGACATGTAACGAGGGAATAATGTGCTTCTCTAAATATTTTTGAAAACAAAAATCTACGAACGATATTAATATTTTACTGACTAAAATCTCTCGAATCGACTGAATATTGTATCGTCGCTACTTGTTAAATGTTGGATACACATCTGGCGCAAAAGTTACCGAAGAGAAATATCGATTTTGATCCCAACGCACCTGTAACACCGAAATTTCTCTCGAAGGGAAAATCGACTCGGTCCCGGCAGCCAATTCGTTTCCTAAGTGCAACGTCGACTCCGAAACCCTTAACTTCGCGTAGAACTTCCCGAAATTTCAAGTCTCATTCACCGTCAAGGGACTTCTCGTCGAGCGCGAACGCAGTT